TCAAGAGCTTTTGGCTCGCTATGCAATTGAAGGAAACGACTTTCTTTTTCGAATAATAACTGGCGATGAGTCGTGGATGAATTATTATCAACCTGAATCAAAACAATGGAAACGAGCTGATTCACCACCACCACCCAAACTCAAACAAGAAAAATCAGCCAATAAAGTTTTATATTCGTTTTCCTGGGACCATCAATGAATAATTCTCAAGGAACCTACACCAACAGGCACAACAATCACAAAGACATATTATGCAAATATTTTGGTGAATAAACTTCATCCAGCAATTAAAAAGCAACGGCGAGGTTTAATTTCAATTGATGTTATTCTTCAACATGCCAATGCACCATCACACACGTCACATCTTGTTTTTTCTACTATTTATAATTTAAAATATGAATTGCCTCGTCATCCACCGTATTCGCCAGATCTGTACCCCAGCGATTATTCTTTGTTTCCTGTTTTGAAAGACTATCTCAAGGGAAGACACTACAATGATCGATGTTCATTAGGGTCATCAATATACCAATGTCTGAACAGTATGTCTAAAGATTACTTTACAATAGCTATACAAAAACTTCCAGAACATTGGCAAAAGTGTATTTCGACAGAGAGACGATACTTCGAAAAGGAGTACATACATTAATAATTGTAATGTGTTTTGTTGTTTTATAATAAAACCAGTCTGGATACTTTTTGAACGCGCTACGTATATTTATATTTATATCAAAATTAACTTTTTTTGATATAAATATAAAATTTAATAAAATTATTATAATCGAGCTCAAATTAATAAAGATCCAATTTAATGCAGTTAAAATTCAATTTTAATTCACGTAATTGGACTTAAATGCATTTTTATGTGATTTAAGTCCATTTACGGTAATTTATGTGGGATTTAAATTTAACTAAATGGATTTAAATTGAATTCAAACTAACTTTTAGATTGCATCTACACTGATTTAAGCTCGAGTTCAGTAAATGCATACAATTTTTATGGTTTTTAAAAATTTAAATTTAATATAAATTAGCTAGAAACCGACACCCCTCATTTGTATCATGGGTAAAAGTAAATCAGGAATTCGATTACAAATAAAAATGTGACTAGTGAACTGGAGACAGATATTCCCAGGTCGAACAGGCACGATTGTATAGGGAGAAATACGGCAAAATATATGGTCCAGTATTACGATTGTACATCTCCGTGTCGTTTACGGAGAAATACGGTGATATACGGAGAAAAAAATGGTCGTTTACAGTCGTATACGAAGTCCGTAATCGTCGACCTGGGTTAGTATAAATATTATAAAATATTTTTTTAATATTTAAAATCGATCAAAATTTTTATTATTACTATTTTGTACATAAAAGAAAGAAGATACGATTTGAGAATATACATAAAGAAACATTTTTTAAAAGAACTTATTATGACGACACTTTTGAAACCAAAATGTGAAACCTACACATGTTCGTTAGCCTGATTTAGCCAACACAAAATGTCTGAATTAAAAATTTTCTTGTGGACTATAATTACGTTACAATATGGTTGGTCAGTTAATATCAGAACAATGATCTGTCCTATTTATTTCTGCATTTTTAAAAGAAGCCTCCTTCTTTTTTAAAGATGCTCTATTTTTTTGTTTGCGTTGCTATTATTTGCTTTGTAATTAGTTGTCCTTTTTCTATATTGTTTTTCTTGGTTTAAATTTGTACCTTCATGGATCCTGAATTAAAAGGATGATAAGACTGTTCTAAATAATTGCTTCATGAAGATTGTAACTGAATAATATTTTAAATTTTCCTTAAGGGAGGTCGAAATCCTGTTTTTCGTGCAGGAAAATTTAAAATTCTCTTTAAATAGACAATGATCTTTCAATTATTCCTCGGAGAATTTTTATTTGTTGCATAACATATTAATTATATTTATAGTAGCGGATCTTAATGCACTATTGCATCTCGATCAATTCGCAAGCAGTGAAACTGATTATTTCTTGAAGCTGCACCTTGATTTCTTCATCTCTTTTGTGTAAACCAACGGAGAGTTGTAACAGATCAATGAATCACTATGAACAAAAGTTCACATGTTGAGTTCAAGTTTTTCTCTGCTTAAAATTCAAAAACCTTTCAGTGTGTGAACGTCCTGAAGCAAACTGTACTCATTTATTTTTACCCAAGAGCTCACGAAATTCTAGAATATTCTAGAACAATATATGGCTTATTACTACTGTCGCTCAGCATCTTTACTTATGTAGGTTCAGGACTGCAATGAAGAATAATCCTAAGTTTTGTGATCAGTACGGGTGACAAAACTCGGAAAACTTCGGCATACAATTTACATTCACCATTTTTGAAAAAGTATACTTGTTCGATAAAAAATGTTATTGCAACTCTTGAGAGATAATTCCTTTAGACAATCAGGAACCGTCTTTTTCTATGATGAAACCTGGAAAGACATATTTTCGTATCAAAATATTGAAACATCCCTACTAACATACTGTTTTAGTGCATCTATTTTGATGTATATTTAGCAATCAATTTGATACAATTTTGAAAGCGTTTACACTAAATGATAGAAACACGTGCTGAAGCTGTATGAACATGTTCTTCTTTCAACGTGTTCATATGTTTCTGAGATACCATCTTTCACATACAAGAACGAGTTTTTCTTGAACCAGTTGCCATGGGCTCCTTCAAAGACTGTTCTTGTCGATTTGAACTCGTTCGTTGTCAACGCGTTCGTCATCAAAAGAAACGAGTTGCTCATCGAGAAATACGCGTTTGCACGGTTCATATTTTTAAAGAACACGTTCAGAGTCAATAAAATGCGCTCTTACACACATATTTCTGTCAATATTTTTTCCATGGATCCTAATGAGAAAAGCGAGAAGCTACAATCAAAAAGACAAATCTAAAGAATAAACCCCATCAATGAAAATAGAAGAGCCGGTAACATAGAAAAATGAAAAAAAAAATGCATCATTAATAAATTCTTCTCATGAATTTCTTTAATTATGATAATATTCATACATTAACGACAAGTCTTGCACGTATTTAACGGTATAAGTTCAGAAAAAACTGATTTCAAATTCTACTTCCTACAAGATATAGACCAACATAGTACCAGCTAATATATACCAAAGCATGACATCACAAAGATAATGTACTATCTAAATTACGTTTGTTATTGCATCGACTATTATGACAATGACATTCGTCGTTATACAAACTATGCAAACTAGGCATCATTTTCTGATGCCTCGTTTGATCGCCTTACCTTTCTTCTTGCTCTGACTTTGAATCCAAATTTATTCATCAGTAAAGTCCTTTTCTCAAGTGACGCTCTTAGTCGTGATATGATTGATCGATTTTACGAGATCAATCAGGTGAATCATCAACTAGTTAGAGTACCTCATCAACCAGATGTATCGATTAACTTAAAGATTTCGTCCGCAACAACGTCAAACTAGTGCTTGTGTAATTTCTTAATTTTCTGTAACATACTCTTGAATACATCAAACAAAAAATATCTAATTTCTAGTGATGCACAAGCTTGCCATAACAGTGCTTCAAAGCACTATCACATGAAATTGAAATAATTACCTTTCGGTTCATAAATTATATTTTAAAAATCCAGAGATTTTGTCGAAATGGAAGAATCTAGGTCCAACCATATGTGTCTCTGTCAACCTATTGATTTCAGATGTTTTCTCCCTTCTTTGACCATCTAAGGGATGTCAGTTTTTCTTCAAGTGTTACTATGCTGATGTCTATCATTTTCTGTTTTTGATTCAGTTTTTTTCATAATTCACCATATAAGCTAGTTTACATAAGTCATGGCCGATCATTAAATAACGTGCAAGACTTGTCGTTAATGTATGAATATTATCATAATTAAAGAAATTCATGAGAAGAATTTATTAATGATGCAATTTTTTTTTCATTTTTCTATGTTACCGGCTCTTCTATTTTCATTGATGGGGTTTANAAGGAAGCGATTCGCACTCAAACCCTTTTAGGGTTTTTAGTAGAACACTATGTAGTATCTATGGACGAAGTTTCATTGAAATCGGCAGGGGACACTTGCAAAGGTTCCCTCGTAAGTGGAGATGATGTATGTTGGACAGATGATGGGGATAAGCGAGAAGAGTGGTGTAAAATAAAATCTGGCGGCGATGGGGTTGTTGGAAATAAGAGTAATGATGGATATGATGAAGTTTGTGGAGGGAGAGGAAATGATGATGTAGATGTAGATGAGAGATTGGAGACGGTTGATGGTGGAAGTCAAGATGATGGATAATAGAGAAATGATGGTCGGAGTCGGGGTGATGTATAGATGAGGGAGGATTGGCAATGTGGAGATGTTTGCTCTAGATGGATTGAGGAACAATGGGGTGATGATGGTCTGAAGAGGATTGATGAATTATATGGACATCAAGGCTATGGGAGTGAAATGGGCAAACTCAGAAGCATGGTAAATGTGAAGATGATGGGGATGGGAGGAGTTTTGCTCAATTTAATGATTTTGGGGAATATACGGCTAATGGCTTTGACATAAGTGATTCCTTTTGAATTGGGAATATTCGATGAGTTTTTGATTTTCGAAATTAATAAAGTATAGGATGTTTTTTTGTGTTAATTATATAGTGGTAAAATGAAAAAGCGAAAATTGTAATGAGAAATTAGGGTGTTTATTTATTTATTTGTTTTTTGTTATTATGTTTAGTAGACGATGAAGGAAGGTAGAAAATCAAGGTAGAAACGAGGATTAACGGGAGAAAATATGAAATTGGGAATATATATAATTCGAGTAGATATACGTGAGCCGTTCAAAAGGTATCCGGACTGATTTTATTATTAAACAATAAGAAAGGTTATTGTTCTTAGCTTTTAGTCTATGCGTAGTTGGAACAGTGCCCCGTCCATAGGTATCATAATCATTAACCAATGAAATACCTATGCACGGATGTAACGATTTTTATCAGATCAGCCTTTATACCCTGATGGAAAATGAAAAACTTGAGCACCGATCAATAATGAAGTTTCTTAGATTGGAAGGTCATTCTCCATCCAGTATTTATGAACGTATGGTGGTAGTATATGGTGACCATGCTCCATCACATACAACAGTTTTTGAATGGGTTCATAGTTTTAGAGATGGACAATTAAATATTGAAGATGGTCCTAAATGTGGTCGAGCAATTAGTACAACAGATGACAAAACTATTAAAGGTGCGGAATGTCTAATTATCGAAAATCGTCGAATTACAATTGAGAAAATAGCAGATGCTCTTGGCATTTCAACCGGCACGATACATGGCATTATACATGAACATTTCCATATGACTAAAGTTTCTTCAAGATGGGTGCCACATTTACTAACACCTGATAAAAGACACGAACGTGTTCAAACATGTCCAGAAGTTTTGGCTCGCTATGCAATCGAATGAAACGACTTTCTTTTTCGAATAATAACTGGCAATGAGTCGTGGATGTATTATCATCAACCTGAATCAAAACAATGGAAACGAGCTGATTAGCCACCACCACCCAAACTCAAACAAGAAATGTCAGCCAACAAAGTTTTATATTCGTTTTTCTGGGCCCAAAAAGGAATAATTCTCAAGGAACCTACACCACCAGGTACAACAATCACGAAGACATATTATGCTAATATTTTGGTGAATGAATTTCATCCAGCAATTAAAAAGCAACGGCGAGGTTTAATTTCAACACGTGTTATTCTTCAATATGGCAATGCACCACTACAGACATCACATCTTGTTTTTTCTACTATTTATAATTTAAAATATGAATTGCTTCGTCATCCACGGTATTCGCCAGATCTGGCCCCCAGCCATTATTTTTTGTTTCCTGTTTTGAAAGAGTATCTCAAGGGAAGGTACTACAATGATCAAAGTTCATTGGCGTCATCAATATTCCAGTGTCTGAACAGTATGTCTAAAGATGACTTTACAGCCGCTATACAAAAGCTTCCAAAACGTTGGCTAAAGTGTATTTCGACAGAAGGACGATACTTCGAAAAGGAGCACATACATTAATAATTGTAACGTGTTTTGTTGTTTTATAATAAAACCAGTCCGGATACTTTTTGAACGCGCTACGTATATAACGAAAGGACTTTCGAATTTTTCTTTTTCAGGCGATAAATCATAGAATCATAACTGTTGACTTGATTGGTGGGAATTGAATAGTTAAAGCATTTTGTTTTAGTGTGTAATATAGTATGATAAGATTGGTAATATGTGGTACTGTGGACATTTTAAATACTGAAATGTAATGTAGGATAATGTATAGTTATGTAGAATAATACTCAATGATATGTTACGATGCAGGTACCAGAGATGGAAACGGGGCGAGGCCTCGGGACGAGGACCGTTTGCCTCGGGGCGAGGCGAGACGTGAAAGGATTACGACGGGGAATATGTTTTCGGGTCGAAGCGGGGAGAAGTTAGAACGGGGCGAAGTGAGGCGGGGAGAAGCTAGGACGGGACAAAGCGGGGCGGGGAAAAATTATGGCGAGGCGAGGCGAAGCGAAACCGTATTAAGTTAAAATTCCCGAAATTTCCTCGTGATAGTTCCATAACATAAATATCGATATATAGACTATGTATTTGAATAATGTATGCATAAAGACTTATGATAATAGTATGCGTGCAATAGATTATCCACTCAACGCTTCGTACAAATATAAAAGTTCTCCGTTAAATATGAATAGTCTTTATTGAATTCTATTTTTATCGTGGAAGATGAATGGTAAAAACTGCAACAGAGAAAAGCAGCGTCTATTGATAGACTACTTTCGCAAATTAGACTCAATCCAAAAGTTTACTTCAGATGCTAAAACAGAATTTTATGTAAAATTTATTTATACATTCTTTTGTTCAATAAATATTTTCCATCTCTGTGTAGCATCGAAATTGCTGCGTGACATGAAAACATCAAATACTCAGCATTTCGCTAGAATTAAGAGCCGTTTTTATTTGTTAAATAGCTTTCTATAGGATATTGAGGCATACTAAGAAAAGAAGAGAAGTGTATTTATTTTATAGGCATCAAACCAAACTTTTGCGTAAAACTTTCCTACCTGAAAGCGACATATAAAGTATG